TTTAAATACTTAATTAATATTAAATTTTATATTTATTAAATATTTAATTTTTGAATATTTATAAGTATTTTAAATAAATATTTGTAATTGCATTTTCAACATACCTTATATTTAATAAGTATTTATTAAATATTAAATAAATATTTTATAAATATTTAGAAAATACTTTGACAAACTTCGTGATGACAAACCTGACACAGGCTTATAATTGTAATTATTAAAATAAACTTATCTCTTTTTTTGCTTGTATATTTTATCATAATTCTCTATACCTTGGTGTTTTTTTTAATACTTATTTATTTTATATTTTTGTATTTTGCATCTTGATGAACAAATAGCCACCAGCTGATGAACAAAGAAAAAAAGTCTTTAGTAAGTTAAAGACCTAAAGAGAGGCCAAGTGCTACTGAGACAGTCATATCTAGTATATTATAGACAAATTCTTGTTTTGGTTGAAATAAAAATTCTTTGAATTGTTTGAATAGTTTTAGAATTCTAAATAAATAAGAGCAGGATTGTCGAATTACAAAAAAAAAATATTGGTAAATTTTGAATAATTTATTGACTTAGATTAATTTCGAAGTTGGTATTCTAAAAACCACTTTTACAATATACAGTATATAAAATATCAAGGTTTAAATAATCACCAAAGTACGAGAATAGACACGTTCTTAGTAAAGAATTTGTTACACTTCAGATAGGAATTTAAGCAGTAAATAAAGAACGATATTTAATATTAGTTTTCAACAAGATATAAGCACTTACCAACAAATCAAATACGTTTTAATAACGTCAGAAATCTAATAGGTCATAAATATATTAATCGACAACTTTATTTAGAAAAAGTTCTCGATAGATAGAGCCAGATTCTAATTAACCGATTAAGGAACTTTTTAACCGATTATTAACCGGTTAATATTTTTCGGTGCTCCCAATCACTAATACAGTAATATTAACGATACTACGTTTACGTAAAAACCCGACCTGACCTGTTTCATTATAATTTTTTTGCTAAATTCGGTAAAAGTGCGTACGTACGTCCTTAAGATTATCATATCGATATCTATTATCCATCAAGTATATAGTTCAGAAAGAGCGCAGTTGATTTGATTATCAAACTTTTACGAGAATGCCTCTTCAATTAATCCACCACCCTGTTGTCGACCGTTCTCTTAAATATGCCAATACAACCGTCGGTCGTGACAAAGTTTATAAAGGGGTTCAATTCTTTGCTCGATTCCTGGCATGGTATCTTAGTCGAATTGGCTATACTAAAGAGACGATTCAACGACTTAACAGTTTGAAAAGTACACTGGCCTCGTCTAGAAAACGTATGTATCATGCCTTCGAATGTTTATTCAATATTTGATTTCTTATCTTTTATATCAATTTATAGTTATGCGACTTGGGAAGTTTATAGAGCATTTACAACATGCTTCCAAAGCTCTTAAGGAAGAGGACGAATTCTCTAAGTTTACTAAAATAGGCAGGCAGTTAGGCTATGCTGTTTATATGTTTTATGATAGTTTTGCTTGGGTATGCTTTCATGCCTTTTCGGTTTATCTTTCGTCAATTTATTAATATTTGAATAATTTTGTCAAAAATATAATAGGCACATAGTACTGGGGTTTATAAATTTAATCAAATAAAAAAAATAACTACTAATGCAGCTAGATTTTGGCTTATTGGTCTTTCGTTTTCGATTCTTCATGGTCTTTATAAATTACATCAAAATAGACTTAAAAAAGATTATTTTGAACGAGCCAGTAAATCTAAAAGCATCGAGAGTAATGAAAGTTCCAGCGCCCATTCCGAAGTTGCCGTTCTTAGAAGGTTTGCATCATACATACTTTTTTCTGTTATGTTATATTTAATTTTAATCAATTACTTATATTAGGGAGCGCAAAGATCTTGTCAGACAGCTTATCCAAGATCTTCTTGATCTAACTATACCCACTACCTCTCTTGAATATATTCGTCTAGAAGATGGTATAGTTGGTCTTGCAGGATTTTTCTCTGCCATTATTGGCGCTAAGACTCAATGGGAAAAAGTGAATGGGCTAAAATAGATATTTAATTAATAAATTTGTTTGTGTTTTAATACCAATGAACATAGTTATGGATTTCCAGAAAATTTGTTATTTATCTTATAGTGAATTTTTCTTTATTACCATCTGATAAAGATGATTCTAAACCAGTTTAAGTTTGATAATATTTTTATGCATGAATTATTAATAAATTTATAATTAGTAATAATTCAAATTAATTTAGTTCACTATACTATCCTTAAACCATTAAATGCATCTATCAATGTAACGTTGGCAGACTTTCCCATAATTTGCTGATGTGGATCAATTGTCTAGGTGCCTAATTTGTACTTACATTTATGTTTGACTATACACTACGTAAAAAATCATCGTAAAATCTATTTCTAGTTTTTTAATGAGATAATACGTATTCGAAAAGACGTAATACCGACTAAATCGGCCAGCATTAAACTAATGCCGGCTACCTTTGTCAGGATTATATACTTTCATAAAAATGGCTTTTGGGAACTTGAATACTACTAAAATAGATTCTTTTATTTGCAAATGGTTATACTAATACAACTCAAGTTTAATAAATACTAGACAAAACAAAAATATGTCTTGCATTGCATTACGATTATAAAATAACACTTCTAACTTGTATATAGTATAAAAAATTTATAAAATATTTACTTTAGTAGAGGTTTAACAATAAGTATAAGCTAATTGTAAACCTGATACGTACAAGTACGTACGTACGTACAATGTTTAATCACACATTTTTAAGGGGTCGTTATTAAAATTTAAAATTGTTTAATATAACAAATTTTAAAAAAATTAACATTCAAAAAAAACCTTTCAACAATTCTGTAACAAAATAAAAAAATATATAACAACCTTCAAAAATACGTATAAGCCCAAATTATACCCATTATACAAATTTCAATGCTTAGCTTGGTCTATTTAGATTTCTAGTCTGTTATATATTTATCATTATGCAGCA